GGGGGGTGAGGGTGGACGGGGCCAGGGGCAGAGGCCGGGTGCCCACCCCATTCCGGTCGGTGGCCCGCCCCCTGCACCTGTCTCGGGGTCGCAGAGGCCTGCCACCAGCTCAGGGGCGCCCTTGACATAGGCCTCCGGCTGTGCGGCCCCCGGCCACGCCACCACCACGTCCATGCGCTGCAGGGCCGACGAGAACGGGAAGCGGCTGAGGACGCTGACGGGTGCCGGGGGCGGTTCCTCCTGCAGAGTCGGAGGGGCGGCTGAAGGGCCGGCCTGTGGGGCCCACCCCGGCTGCCCCACGCCCCGCGGGCACACGCGAGACTCACCACGCCCTGCGGCTGGGGCTCCTGAAGCGGGGGTTTCATCACCGCCAGGACCTGGGCCCCGAATGCGGAGTCTGCGGCCGGCCCCTCCTCCAGGACCTGCGAGGCGGGCAGAGAAGGTTGGCATCTGACGGGCTGGGCACCGGCTTGGCCCCGGGGCGGGCCAATCCTTGGCCCACGGAGGGAGGCGGCGCGGGATTCAGATCGGATTCGAGGAAGACTCCCTCCACGGGAGACCGGATGGAACGGGAAGTCAAGAGCACGGGCTTTGGAGTCGGATGGACCCAAGTTCAAACTCTGGCTTTGCCACTCACAAGCTGCAGGGTGACCTTGGACAAGTTATTCCAAATCGCCCTCAGCCCGGTCCTTCCTCCCTGTGAGGCAGGTTTGAAGCTTCCTTCCTGGGCTACAGGAGGAGCCCGAGACAAGGCCTGTGCAGCGGAGCGCTGGCACACAGCAGGTGCTCGTGTGTGGCCTTGGCCACGTTGTCATTAATGACGGTGGCGCACTGGACGCCACCTGAAGTCCTGGAACGGAGACCTGCTCCTCACCCAGCCAGTAGATTCCACCATCTTGAGGTCCATGGGGTCGCCCACCGGGGTGTCCTGGAGCCGGGTGAGGGCGTGGCAGGTGGCCAGCGCTCGGAGCAGGGGCCCCACGGGCAGGCGGCGGGGCTCTGGGACCAGAGGGAGGAACGCCTGCCCCTTTAGGGGCACCACGCCCATCACATCCAAGCCGTCCTCCGTGAGGGTGCCCGTCTGCAGGGGGCAAGGGGCAGGCCAGCGGTGAGTCCTCGGGTTGAGCCGTGTGCGGCTGTGCTGGGCGTCCATGCCCCAGAGTCGCCCTCCCCAGCCCCCACCTCCTCTGTCTGGCACCACTGCCTCCGGGTCCCCACCCGAGGCCCCTTTGCGACCCTATCACCCATCCGATGCGGTGCCAGGAAGGGGCCCTGCCACACGCAGCGCTCGGTGTACCTGCTGAACGGACGAGCGAGGCAGGCGCCAGCCTGCACGCCCCAGGCTGTGTTCCCGCAGCCCAGGGACAGCCGGGGAGCTCTGTGAACACGATCGGCTTAAAACCTCTGCGGCCCCCGGTGCCCTCAGAATAATTAATGTCCAAACTCCTCCACGGGGCTCACCAGCCTCTGACGACCAGGGCGCCCCCCCCATCTCGCCCTGCCCCCTTCCCCCCTGCTCCTCTTGCCTCAGGCACGTGGTCTGCTCAGCTCCTCCGGCCCTGCCCCAGTGGCCCAGCCTCCCAGAGAAGACTTCCTCACTGCCATCTCCCTGAGGGAGTGACCTCAAGTAGCACCCGTCCCATTACCCCGTTCACTTCCTTCCCCAAGCCCATCACTTCATTTGCAGCTTTCTGTGCTTTCTGGTGGGGCGACATCACCGTGGGGTCTCTGCTGGGTCTCAGCGCTGAGAGCAATATGGGGGAAAAGCCTGAATGATCTCGGACAGCTCATCTGCCAGGCCGTGAGCTTGACGCGGCTGGGACCTGGGTGGGGGGTGGGGGGTGGTATCTCTAAGGGTCTCCTCCCCAGGACGGGATCTGGCACCAAGCAGGCCCTTGGTCAGCGCTGCCGAATGAAACACGGGTGCGGAGGCCTGGCCGTGGCGCCCGGGCCCCCTGCCCTGCGGCCCCCACCTTGTCGAAACACACCAGCTGGAGCTTGCCCCCCAGGTTGATGCGCAGCGGGTGGATACAGAAGATACCCTGACTCCGGAGCCGGCTCTGGGCGTAAAGCGTGCACACGGTCATGGCGGCTGGCAGGGCGGGGGGCACCACGACCGTCACCAGGTCCAGCGCGCGGATCACGATCTCATTCAGAGGCACCTGGCGGGAGGCACCGTGAACGCCAAGGGCCAGGCCGGCCCCGGGTCCCCGCTGCCGGGCCCCACCCGGCGCCCCGAGACTCACCCGGTTGCGGTGAAGGACGAAGATGCTGTAGATAGTGCCGAGGAGAGCTGGGGAGACAGCAAGGGACTCAGCGGGATTTGGGACGGGATTTGGGACGTCCCACCAGCAGAGGGGAATGCAGGGGGACGCTCACCGAGGACAGAGAGGGCGGCCACAAACTTCATGCTGTGCTTGTAGAACTTGAAGCTGATGGGCCGGGGATGCAAGATGGAGCTCACCAGGCCCCCTTTGGCTGTGCAGAACCCTGGGGGGAGCCGGGGAGGCCGAGGGTCAGGACGGGTCCTCTCGGCCCCTCCCCTCCACCACCGCGCCTGGGGGCTGTGAGATGTGGTGCTCCCAGGATTAGGAATCATCCAGTTTGGGGTTCCTCGTGATGGCCCGGCGCTCACAGGGCTCAGTAAAACCGGAATGAATGGACAGTTATCTATAAAGTGGGTGGCTTCACTTAAAATTCGGATATGTGGCTTGTGCTGAAACACTCAGACCTGGTGACACCGGGTCCCATTCCCACACGACAAGAACCTGCTGGCATCGTACGGGGCTGCTCCCTTCCGGAGGGGTGGGCTCCTCCTCGCTGGCCACATCCCTGCCCACATCAGCCAACCCCAACTTGGCAGCGGGACTCGTCTCAGGTCCCACAGTGGGACAGCAGCGGAGATGGCCCCCGCCCTGCCCGGTGTCACGAGCCCAGCATCCCTCCCCGCGTCCCGGACTCCCACCTGTTCGAGTCACCACCGCCAGGACGTGGGGTCCAACAAAGGCCCGGGCCTGCAGGACGAGGGTCCCACAGAAGAGCGTGTGCCGCCGGTGGGTCTCGGGGCAGTAGGGCACCGGTCCTTCCGGCAGGGCCGTCTTCAGCACTGGAACGCTCTCCCCTGGAAGGGACGCGGTACGAAGCTGGTGAGGGGGTCCCATGCCACCCCTTCTCGCCGACCAGAGTGAAGCACAGAATCGTTTCCTAAAGCCCTAGGTCTCATTTAACTCTGGGAAC